AAGGGTGACCTTTATCAGATATAAAGGTATATATACCTGATCACTGACCAATGCAGGGTATAAACCGATTTCAGTAAAACAGCCACAAGAGKTTRYATTTTACTTTATGCGTATTCAATGTGGGATGACAAGAGTGCTTTGTAAAGTGATTCACGCATGATCATTTTGCCCCATTTATCTCAAAACTTATTTTTACGGCAACTTCTCCAAGAATTTAAGCCAATTTCTTTATTTTTTTTCAATTGACATTATATATTGTTTGCAGGAGTCTCGCGGATATCAAGTCAACCGCAAAATGTATCCGCCATTGAAGACAGCAATCKCTTAGTGAGCTTATTCTGCAACGCTACTGGAATTCCTTCACCAAACATAACCTGGTATAAACAAGGAAATTATAGCTTTCCAGTTGCTCTTGGTGAAACGTTAAAACTAAGAGCAAAGAAAGAAGCTTCAGGAATATATGAATGCGTTGCTTTCAATGGAATCGGGAGCGCCCARAGAACACGAGCGTGGATTCAGATAAAGCGTAAGTTTGCATTGAAAAAACGTTTACCATATTTTGATATACAYGCAATTTCTCGTGTACGGTTTATGGCTTGATTAATATTGCCAAACATAATGGCTGTCTTGTATGGTTTGCAGATATACCTTACTTCACAACCATGAAGTCCAACGTAAACAATGACGTCGTGTTTGGCAACCATCCTATCACGATAACATGCACATCATTTGCCAACCCACCAGCCAACCGATATGWTTTTTACCGTGACGGTCGTCACGTGTCTACAACATCATCCGGGGTTCTTACTATTGTTAGTGCAAAAGCCGCTGACCAAGGAATATACACATGCATATCATCTAATTCTATTGGACGAAGTGCGAATAATGCTACTTTAAGTGTGGCCGTGTTTGGTAAGTACTGTATAATCCACTTATCATTAGAGCGTAGATTATGTAACATTTTACACAAAAAGTAAGTGCCGTTTTGCAATTATTTAACTTCGCATCGGCCTCATGTACAGAAGTCAAATGATGTACTTATTGATTCTGTTGTTTGAATTTGCATTCCAATCCATTGCATTTGCGTGAGTCAAACAACGGTTTTATATAAAACCAAAGTTAATCGAGGAGAAATTCCTTCTCAATTAACTATGATAAAACGTTATATCATATTCTCAGGTGCATTGGAAATTGCCAGTAGACCAAAAAATCAAACTGTGAAAGAGAGCGGGACTGCAATACTGTTCTGTAACGCATCGTCGAGTCATGGTACCGTACAAATTGAATGGAGAAAAGTGGAAAATCGCTCTATTAGTTTTCCTAGTGTAACATCATTGGTTTTGGCGAACGCACARAAAGGTGACAATGGAGTTTATGAATGCAAAGCAAGCAATGGATATGCCAAGCCAGTTACCGCAAGAGCACGGGTTAATGTTCTGCGTAAGTATCATTTGATTCTATTATCTTGTTCTCATGCCTAACAAACGTACGGTTCCAAAATCAGTTAGTATGAGGCATTTATGTACATAGAGATTTTTTACGAAATCATCTACAAATACGTTGTTTAGATCTCAAGCGTTATAATTGTGAAAACCTTATTAAACAAACAAAATCCCGAGCCCTTGGCTCCACCTTACATTTGTGCGAATGCCGGAGTTGTGTTGTCCAAGGATGAACAGCAACTCCTTTTGAATTTCCTGTGAAACTTTGTCTAAAAATTTGACTGGAAATTCAAAMGGAGTTGCTAAAATGCAAAATGCATCAATAGCTCAATGGTTTTTCAAGTGTACGTATACAAATTAAATTGAATAAGGTTTTTTTGCAAGACATACTTTAAGTGAATAMCAAAAAACGACCGTTTGTTTCATCGAAGAAATCGTACTTTTTTCAGATAAACCATACAATACCGTTCTCAACACATCGACTGGGTCGAAAAACATCAGGCTTAATGGATCACTTCAGCTCATCTGTAAAACGTTTGCCAACCCGCCTGCTAATATCTATAAATTTTTTCACAACGGAGTAACACTTGGACAGACCGCCAATGGASTGTTTAAGATATCACGACTAACAAAAACGTCCAATGGGACATATTCATGCGTCGCCGAGAATGCCATCGGAAAAGGTGCCCCAGGATCAATCTTCCTTAAGTTCGCAGGTATGTGAAGTAACTCTTTAGTTTCACAAAGTCCGCTCAATAACATCTTTTGCGAGCTATAGACATACTTATATTACTATATGAACTTCTGTACTAAACCGTATTAAAAACATCAAAATAAGCTACGGAATTAATATAAGCACTATCTTCCTTAATGACAACTTGAAAATGACAGTATTAGGTTCAGACACGAGAAGATACCAACAAGAATTTGAACTCTGTGTCAATTTCAATCAAAATGAATTACCAGTCATTCGAATAACCTCTATAAAAACAACTTATGGCATAATTCTAACTTTTTACAATATGTTTGTCAAGTTTGTGGTAGACCCGTATTTGGAAATTCGATCCATTCCCAGATTGTCGGTGGTATAACGTCACGACATGGGGCGTGGCCATGGCAAGTGCAAATTGGAACCAAGAATGTCTGGAACAGCATACGTCATMTCTGTGGCGGTTCAGTCATAGGAAAAAAATGGATTGTCACAGCAGCACATTGTGTAGCTGTTGAACAAGGATCAGGATTCAATACAACCAAACCCGAAAATCTTAATATCACGTTAGGTAAGAAAAAAAAGTGCAATTGCATCGTTGTCGTTTTTGTGTCGCCTATATGAATACTGTATTTATTCGAGTTATAAAGTTCACCGGAAGCCAAAGCAATTCTTATATTTACGTTTCTTTACGTGGACTAACTAGCACGAAGAATTTGACTGKTTTTTTGGTTGCTGGCTTACTTGTTAACTGGTCGATTTTCTACTTTTTTTGTTATGTATGGTTCTTTAGGAAACATGGCTTAATTTTGTTGTTCTTTCTTCTTAGGGGAACAATTTATTTACAAAGTAGATGGYACAGAACAAAACATTCCAGTAGAAAAGGTTATTGTACATCCTAGCTACTACAATCTTGATTATGACATAGCACTCATTAAACTCAAGCAGGACATCCAATACAATTCCTATGTATCGCCAGTTTGTTTACCAGACTTTGAATTTCCAGCTGGCACTGCATGTTATGTGACTGGGTGGGGACGTCTATTTAGCAGTTCTCCTTCATCAAACGTTCTGCAAGAAGCATCTATTCCATTAATGTCAAGGTCACAATGCAATGTTGAGTATAAAGGCATCAAGCAAGTAACTAGTCGTATGATATGTGCTGGTACAAAGGGTGTTTCTAAAGGGACATGTAGAGGTGATAGTGGTGGGCCGATTGTATGTTCAAGWGAAGGGTATTGGTTTCTTATGGGCGCAACCAGTTGGAGTTTGGGAGGTTGCGCAGATAGTGGCTATCCTGGTGTTTAYGCTGACATATTTTACTTCAAAAATTGGATTGTAAATACCATGGAGAGATATTAGATTCTATGGCATAGAGATACGATWTAAACCGATACGATGGTATATGAACAGAAATAAATAATGCTACAATACAAACATCAATATGGTTGAATGTAAAAAATAGTGAAGTGGAACCCAAATGGCAATATGTGGAATATGAACATCAATACGGTGGGATATAAGCCACAATCTCATTGTGGAAAGAAAGGCCAATACTAGGGAATCTAAATCGAAATATGGTGGAATATAAACAGGAATACACGAAGTCATATTAGTGTCAATAACAGCGATATGGTGTAATATGGTTGATTACGAACAACAAATGGTAGGAAGGCAAACAAGGACATAAGTCGGCATATAGTACAATAGAGAGGATTAGAAAAACCAACCAAATGAAAATGACAAAACTTTTGAAAACATGTGCTGCAATTGTTAGCTTATTTTACAAGCCAGATTGCCATATGAAGGAATGCAAGTAMCTTTTTTGGTGGAAAGCAAAAGGAAATATCTATTTATACGAACAATGAACAATATATAAGTATAACCTAAAACAGGAAAATCTTAAGAAATTTTTGCTAACAGCACAGAAATGTTAAAAATGTCCAACCGCAGCAGGCTTAATAGTTTTTATTTTTAAGATATAAATATTCACGAATATTGTTAGATTTATAGTAAGTTTACTTTTTTAATGATTGAACAATTCCAAAAACTGTGCATGTTACAAAGCATTTCTGTGTCACTTCTTTATCTTACCCTTAGTACAGTCAGCCCAGGTTATCGTTTAGTAACTTTTTATGSCATCAATAAAAATGACGAAAGTTGGAGTCTCACACTG